TGGCAGGAAAGCAGGTAGCACATATCAGAGGATAGACAGCACAGAGGTCTGGGGAGAAGTTGGGTCCATGGCCCAAGAAGTCAGTGAGGTCCAGCAACAAAAAGCAGGGCTGTGAGACACGAGGGGACCTAGGGTAATGAGTGGAGGAGTTGGTACCCGGTGAGGGTGAACCCCACTCTTATGGTGAGTTGTATATCAGAGAGGGAAGTAGGCGTGGAAAGCATGGCCAGGAATGAGGCCGGTCAGCTCCAACAGCTGCTGGCTAGAGAGGCGCTCGGGATAATTCCCTTCAGTAACCAGTTCTGACCTTAATCAGAGATAATTTTCTCTGCCTTGCAGGACAGTGTACAGCTTTAAAGAAGCAAAGCATGCAACTATACACAGCAGAGGTAGGGATATATTTCCACCTGGCCCCTTGACCTCTCTCAGCTTTGCTGAACTTACCTGTCCAGTGGAGATAAACTGGCAGTTTCCTCTCCCTGAGGGAGTCACAGATGGCACAGAGCTCCTAGTGCCTAAAGATTTGGAACAACTGAATCTGCAGCACAGTGGGTACCCCTAAAGGTCAGGGACCTGGGGCAGAGGGACTGCCAGAACACCTTGCTGAAAACCACAGGGAGATGAGGATCACTGAGCATGGACAACAGATGCTCAGTAGCTCTGAATGGTAGGTCCACATCTTTCAGGGACCAGGGAAGTGCATCCTGCAATAGAGCCTGATATCACCTTGATGCCAGTGCAAGATCAAAGCCTGCAACTCGTCCGTGCATGCCCTTCACTTCTCTCTGGCTCCAAACCCCTCTACATAGAGACTTTGCCACCATGGGACTAAGAGACAGACGTCTCTCCTCTGGGTGACATTGACACACAGACCTGAGCTATGCTTAGCATCTCCTGGGGCTCTCTCAGCCTCGGACAAATGGCCACTGGAGGGACAGGGTAATGGTGATATACGTGGGGCCTGCCAGGCAGTTAGGCGCGTGGCTTTAATGACTATCTTGGAGGTGACATTCCATTAGGGGTGATTGAACTTAATTTTAATGGCAGGATGACTTAATGTTTCATCATCCTCTCCTGGGCCTGAAGGTCAGTAGGAAAACTTTCTTTTCTCTGGGAATTATGCTACTAAATTCCCATAAAACTGTGCCAACTTTGGTTAATGCTAACATACTGAGCTCTAAAGTGCTCTCCTGCATAAACAGGCTCTCCTGCATAAATGGGCCTAGCGTATCTGTGTCTCCGTGTTCAACCTCCGGTTGAATGTGGACCCTAGCACTTCCTGGTTGTGTGGACTTGTGAACTTATTTAACCTCCCCGTACCTCAGTTTCCTTATCTACAAAGTTAGATAAAAACAATGTATACTACCTACGGTTGGTGTGAGGCTCATGTGACTTGGAGTATTCAAATGATACCTGAAATCAGGAAAGGCCATGGAAATGTCAATTGCGGTTATTAGTTGCCTAGGGAAAGAATCACCTAAGTGGTCGTACACAAAAGATGTTCAAGAGCATGACTGACCTGATAGGTTATGGCAAGGGTGGCAGGGAGGAGCAGAGGGAGGAAGATGTGAAAAAAGCACATCAGGGTCCACTGGAGAGGCCCGAGAACACGAGGCCTATGCGTTCAGATGGTGCTGTGCATGACGTCTCGCCAGATGGCATTCCACCGGTCTCATACAGGGAAGGCAAAAGGAAGTATTTTTAGAGGATCTTTGTTGACAGTGAGGATAAAAGAAAATAAATATATGTGAAAGCCATTATGAAGGGTCCTGCAGGCCTTAGTGCTCAGTGAATGAGGGGCTGAGAGAACAGGGGAGTCTAGGGTGACTCTGAGGTACGGTGAGATGACTAACCAAGGAGGGATCCTCACTGCCATGGAGAAGCCGAAGAGGAGCTGGTTAGGGAGAAGAGGCCACCTTAGTTTAGGCCCATTCCCCTGGAACTTGCACCCAGCAGGGCTAAGTGGGGCTGGAGAGGATTTGGGATCATCTAGAGGGATAAAGAGAAGGTCTCCATCCCTACAAGTGAGCGTGGGGGAGGAAAGTATGGGCGATGGTGGGTGCACACCAAGAGCTCTCCCCAGGCCAGAGGCTGAAGAAGAAGAACTCCCAGCAAAGCAGCTGTAGGCTATGCAGTCAGCCACACCTGGAAAAGCAGCAAGCTGGGTGTCTGTGGTCGGCTCCAGACTGACTTTCTGCTGCTGCTGTTTCTAGATTTGACTAAGTCTGAGTAGTGGCTGTGGCCATGTTACCTCTTACAATTCCATGGAGGATAGAGGGTTCCAGGGATATTGCACTCTGTCTCCAGGTCCTAACTGTGTCACCTCTGGAGCCTGTGCCCTCCTGTCCTGGAAGACAAGTTTCCTGAGAGCAGTTGGGGTCCGCCTTGATAGCCTAAAGTTTTTCATAGTAGCTGTGACTCAGGAGCCCTTTGCTGTGCTACCTGGATTTCTGCTCTGCTTCTAGGACTCTTGGCTTTGATGTGATTAGCAGAGGTCACTTCAAGATCTCCCTTCTGTTTTCCTGGTGTTGATTCATCAGATCCATCATACATGACAGCTCATCCTTGTGTGTCAAAGGCAATGGCTCAATTCTTGTCTTTCTTTCAGTATTCCCATCCCTAATATCATCCTTTCTATTACTTTCAATGCTCCCTGGAAACTAGAACAAAGACCTAGGAGTTTTATTGAAAGACAACATGTGGTTTAGCACCCAAAATTGCAGTCTCAACAGTCCATTTCCTCTGACAATTGGTCATTGTCTCTATATTAAGCTCAACACTTCAATAAGCCCTGAACAAAGGGTGAGAGCGGGAATGGTTTGGAGATGGCCTTTGTCCTTTAGTGGTGTCACCTCCTCTATTGCTGAAGTGAGTATTGATCCCATTATTGCAAAATGAGTCAAGGGTCTCCATCTTTTGCTAAATATGGCTCTGTGTTCCTTGACACACACTTGCATTCACACAAGTAAAGCCAAGGATATGGAAGCAGAGATGTGTGGAAGTGACTTCCCCATGACTTTGAGGAAACCAACTTCTGCTGCCCCTCGCCTTCTAATCAAACCCACCAGAGGTGTCAGGGGGCCTCTGAGATGGCCCCCAGAGGCTCTGCTCTCCCTTTGTGCTGTCCCTCCTCACCCTCATAGGGTCTGACTCTTGTGACCAGTAGAACATCATGGGGATGATCATGTGTGATCTCTGAGGTGGACATGGTGAGTTCTGCCTTGTTCTTTTGTATCACTCTTGAGGAAGTTGGTTGCCACCTTGGGAGGACACTCAAGCAGCTGCATGGCCAGGCTATGTACTGAGGATTTAAGGCCCTGTGGCCGACATCCAGTATTGACTTGCCAGCCATGTGGCCATGGTGCCATCTTGGAAGTGGATCCTTTAACCCCCACCAAGTCAGTTCCTCCTGGACAGGTGTGTTGTTCTAGTCTATGGACACTCCCTCTGAGAGGCCTTATAATGTGGGCTGGGGAAAAGTCCAGTCCTCAGCTGTTCACTGTGAGCTCTCTCTGTGTGGTCTGGAGCACTAAATAAGGGTCTTCTGTTCCTTTAACATTTTTTGTTGTTGTTGTTGCCCTTTAGCATTTTTTAAGAAAGCAGGGAAAACCTGTTACTCCTGTTACAGTGCCCTGTTACTCCTGGACAGTGTATGTGTCACCAACACCACAAGCCCTGGCATCAGTGCTTGGCTACTGAGTTTGTAAGCCCAGTTCTAGCCATCTTTTTTTCTCAAGTCCTTAAGCACAGAGAAGAGTGCAGAAGCCAGTACTATGGTTCTGGATATGGCAGGATATGGGACTTTCCCTTGGACAGATGGGAAGGACAGAGCATCAAGATGATGTGTGATCCCCAGAGGAGCAGAGTCAAGCCCAGCCTTCATTCTCCATAATCCCTTAGTTTGTCAGCGTAGTTTCTCAGCTCTTCTACTCCCACCCTGCCAGGTCAGTCCTCAAGTGGCTCTGGCTGATATCATGGATTTGGGCTGGGGACATAATCTATGGCTCCATTAGTAACATCAAATGTAGCTTTCCTGGCCCACTTCAAAAAGCCTGCAATGGGAGCCTTGACAACCAAGTTTGCTCCCTTGGAAATAGCTCAGGCTAGTGGAAACTGGACATTTGTTCCTTATCTGTACACCATACCATTCAGTACTGTCCCATGAAGTCAGAAACAGAGGACTCGAAGTCTTTGCTGAGGCAGCTGCTCCTACAGCTTTCAACATGCTGAGCTCTGATCTCAGGAATTCAGGAAGCCACAGGGGAGCTGCAAGTACTCAGGTTATGGGGTCAGGAACTCTAGGGACTCCAGTTGGCTTTTCACTTTCTGTGTGCAGCAGATGTGTGGTCAGCCTTGCAACATCGGGGCTAATTCTTTCTCCTATGGAGAGAAAGGTGAAGCAAAGCTGGCTGGGAAACCATAGGCTAGGACAAGTAGTTAATGCTGGAGCAGAGGCGCTGCCCTTCCAGGAGCTCCAAGAAAAATGCAGATAATGAAAGGAAGCAGAGGAGCAGTTGCAAATTTTTAAGCGGGAGGAGAGCTAAAACTCAGCAGGGGAGTCAGGTCAGGCTAGACCCAGCTGCAGCACTGAAGGCTGGTGAGTGAATATCCAGGGTCAAGAGCCATCCTTTCCCTCCACTGAATACAGGTCTTACTGCCTATTGTTGAAGTCTGTTTGTTCAGATTTCCTGAGAGGTGGCTAGTTTCATTCCAAAGTAGAAATTAGCTCCTCTTATTGGAAAAAGTTATCTCTCTGTTGACCTCATCTTTTATAAATATGCAGGAGAATTTGTCCCCATGTGGAGAGAGATATGTTTTGTGTGCTTCCCATTCGTACTTCACCTTGTCCCATTCCTCCACAGTCAGATTTGGACCTGGGGAAAATATCTGGCAACTGTGAGAAGTATAGACGTACCAAGTGCCCCAGGAATTGATAGAGAAAAACTTAATTTAGTTTGTTTTTATTTCTGAACTGATAAATTGTTTTCTTTTGTTCATAGATCAGAATTAGAGAAAATTGTTGCTTCAACCCTGGATCCCACCACCTTCAACCCAAGTAAACATTTCTGTTAGTGTCTTGGATGTCTTCATCAAATATAAGCAAAGGTGTGTGTTTTCCTTTTTCTTTCCTCCTTTTGCAGAAAAAGAAATGCAGTGCCTCTTAGAAGAATGGAAATTAAGATGAAGGAAATAACCAGGTGGTGCAGAGGTGCAGCTGACCAAAGTTCACATTCTCTACTAACTGCTTTGGACTTCAGTCTCTTCGCTTGACTGTGTCTTGGACATCTTTCAAATCAGTACAGCACATAAAGAATGTCCTCATTCATTTTTACAGCTTTATAGAATCCTATTTATGGGCACACAATAAATTTATCTAACTATGTTCCTACGGATAGACATTTGATTTCCTTCCAATCTTTACTACTATAAACAGTGCTGCCCTGGACACTTCCTGCATGTGCTGGTACATCTGTAGTATATAGTCCAGGAAGGAGGACTGTTGAGTCAAAGGGCAAGTGTGTTTATAATTTTGATAAGGGTTTCCAGATACCCTCAGTGTATGGATGCTAGTAATGGGTGGCAGGCCCTCTTTCCTCAGAGACTGTCACTTACGCACTTCATTGTAGTCTTAATTTGTATTTCTCTTATTAAAGGGAGATGGAGCACCATTCCATTCTTTCAAAAGTCACTGGCATTTCCTCTTCTGCAAGCTGACATGTCACCTTTTGCCCATCTAAACAAAATTTGTATTGCTGGCTTTGATCTTTTTTCTTAACAATTTTTAAGAGCTCTTCATGTGTGGAAGAAGATTAACTCCCCTTGACAGGAGCTGCCTTGTGTTGTTTGTCATTTGAGTTTGCTTTTGTTTTCAGTGTGTAAATTTAACAAAATTTCAGGGTAGCATAATATTGCAATCTTTTTTAATATGGATTCTAACTACAAGAAAAGCCTTCCATATCCAAAGTTCTAAAGAGATTTGCCTGAATTTTCTTCTAGTATGTTTATGAGTAATTTTTTTTTTAATTTCTATCTTTGCTCCACTTGGCATTGATTCTGGGGCAAAATATAACATATGGATTGAACTTGACTCTGTCAGTTGCCTAATACCTTTGACTGACAGCATTCCTAGAGCAATTAGGATGTCAACTTTATAACACACTGAATTTCTGATTATGATTAGATCTGTTAGTGTATTTACTAGTTCATTCTGTTACTTGAACTGTCTGTCCATTAGTCAGTATTATGCTAATCTTCATTATTCAGACGTTATATTTTGAATGTGGTATAGATACTCTTTTTTCGCCCCATCCCACACACACTACTCTTGATTTTCTTTTCCTTTTTCAATTTCCTTGGCTATTTTTTAAATTTATGTTTTATTAATATGAATTAATTATACATATTAATGTGGCTCCCTGTGATATTTCAATACCTGCACACAGCATGCACCCATCAAACCTAGTCTACCTCTATCCCCTTTCTGACCTCTAGCAATCTCTATTATGCATTTAAGATTCCTTAAAAGAAAAAACTTCTGTGTAAATGGTAGAACATACAGCACTGTCTTTCTGGAGTCAAGTTATTTCACCTAACAAAATGTCCTTTTGTTCTATCCTTTTTGCAGTAAATTCTAGGATTTCATGTTTCTTTATAGATGGGAGTTATTTTATGGTATACATATACATTTTCTTTATCCATTCATTGATGGGCACCTAGGCTAATTCTATACCTTAGCTGTTGTCCATGGTTTCCTGGCCATTCTTGCTCATTTCATTTTGCATATATACTTCAAGTCAGCTTATGTAGTTTTTAAAAAAATATTGATATCTGCATTGAAATCAAATTAAATTTGTAAATTAATTTAAAGATAACCAATGTGGCAGCAAATTTTCCTCTCTCAGAATGTGGTATGTGTTCCCACTGGCTCTTCTTTGGTGTTTTAAAAGATTTTTTTCTCAAAGACATTTTGTGTTTATCAAATTAGTTTATTGGAAGATATTTATTGCTTTGTTGTTGTTTAAAAAAAGAGATATATGAAGGACATACCACTTTCCTCGTTATATTCTCTGCCTGTTGCTACTTACAGATATCATGTTGTTACCCAGTATGTTAGTTATATATAATGCTATACTACTGAATTCTTTTTGAGTGTAGGCTTTTCCTCCAAAAACCTTTTAATTTAAAGCATAAAAATGAACCAGGTGTGGTGGTGCACACCTGTAATCCCAGCACTCTGGGAGGCTTAGGTAGGTGGTTTGAAAGTTTGGGCTCAGCTCAGGCAACTTAGCAATTTAGTGAGACTCTGACTTAAAATGAAAAACAGAAAAGAGCTGGAGATGTGACTCACTATGAAGGCCGGGGAATTAAAAAAAAAAGGGTAAAATGTTATTTAGGAAAGTATCCAAATTGGGTATTTTGGCAGTCAAAACAAGACAGTCCCCAACAGGCCTCAGGAAATCTGTAATTGGATGAGATACTTTAGTGTACTGTCTGAATTCAGGATCCTTCAGGAAGGTAGAATTTGAAGGATGTAATTCAATTTCAGAAGCTCATTTTGCACCAAGAGTAAAAATACATGAAAGCACAAGCTGTTACTTGGTAAAGGACTTGTGATAAGGCTGTATGTGGTTGACTTCTTGTGGCCCAAGAGTGGTGCTTCTCATTGGCCATGGATACTGCAGTTCTCAAAGAGGCAATGGCAGGGACATCGGCCACCTGGGCCCTGGGTCCTTAACTTGGAGCCACTACCACCACAGACACCCAGTGCTTCTTCTCTGGGAACATACAAAGAAATGGAGATCTGTCACACTTCCATTCCCTCAGAGATGAAAAAGAAAATGGAACCCACAGGTGACATGAGGGGAGCAGCGAGGGACAGTGATCACATTCTTCTTGGGTTTGGTGTTGAACTGGGCAGAATGAAAAGATTTGATGCCAAACTTGGAGGACTCACAATAGTATAACCAAAGACCTGACAGCTCATCAGAGGCCTGGAGCCTTTTTACAGAGCAAAGTTTATTATTTATTTATTGGTACTAGGGATCAAACTCAGGACCTTGCGCTTACCAGGAAGACAAAGTTTCATCTTTTCTCCATCTTTGTCCATCGCAGCTAAGAGGAAGGAATGAATCTGCTGTCAAGCACCTATGGATTATGCTCAGTGCTGTCTGGGCGCCATTTATTGAGTCTTCATACCAGACTTTTGAAGCATTTTCTCTGCCTTTATGGATGCAGAAATGAAGAAGAAACTTCACTTATTCAAGGGCAGGATACGGGACAGGGAGGGAGGGCAGGACTTTGAGAACATAGCTTTATCTTTATGTGCTTCACCTCTGAGTGTCCCATGCAGCTTTGGATTGAAGGAAGGATTCCATTTTTAAAGAACCTATGTTCTTCAGAAAGATCTATTTTTTTATGCTTTTCATGCCCAGCAGTGGACAGTGGTTGGGCATCACTCCTGTCCCTGTTCCTACTGGCCCTACTACCACCATGACCTAGGGGGTCCCAGCCAATGAGAAGCCTTGTCAGAGAGGCCTCAGGACTGGCATATAACAATGGCAGTGGCCGAAAGGTCCCTCAAGTTCCCCAGCACTCACTGGTTCTCTCCAACCCACTGCCACAGCCAGCTTCAGACCAGAAGGCACTGCAGGGGACTCAGATACACAGTGGTGCCTTGATTCACCAACGTGATGTGTTCCAACCAAGTTGGACAAGAACTGAATCAAATTCAATGGTTAGGTTCAGTGTTGACATTATGGGGAAATTTGATTTCGTTCTTGTCCAATTTGGTTTGCATCCAGAATTGTGGAGAGAATTGCTCTCATGAACTGAGGTGCCACTGTATAACAAAGAGGCCCTATCACAAGCCACCCGTCCTTCAAGATCACAGAAGGATTTTCCAGCCACTGTGCCAGGAACTCAGTTACATCTTCTGGAAGAATCAGAAGCTTGAGAATTACTCAAACCAGGATAAAGTAGTTCTGCAGAGCTTGATCTAAAATGCTCCTGTGGACTGAATTTTTTTTGTATATAACAACTAATAAACCTCAGTGCTTTAGTTATCACCTTATTCGGATGTTTTCTAAAAGCCCTAGAAATAAGAACTTTTAAAAAGAATCTTCCTGCTCCTCCTCTGGTGTGATGGTTGATAGACCATGTCAACTTGAAAATTCTAGAGCTTAACTAAGTCAGCCAGCAGTTCTACATGCCAGTGTGTAGAGGACATGCCCTTTCCACTCTCGGATGTTGCTCATTGTGTCCATTTGAGAAGTTTAAAAGTTTAAGTGATTCAACAGGGGGCCAGGATCCTCATTTTGAATGCATCCTGAGCTGGTGCCCTCCTCAGAGGAGGGCAGGGAGATGGTGAGAATGCCCGGGCAGGGGGTGGACTGCTTACAATATAAGAGGAGAAGAGGCTTGCTCTCCCTCCTTCTGCTCTGGTTGTTTTGCTGTCCTCTGCCACCTTGAAGTGTTGCCCCAGTGCCAGGCTACCCTGCCTTGGAGCCAGATGATTATGGACTGAAACCACTACAAACTGAGAGCCAAATAAACCATTTCTTCTTTAATTTTGGGTATTGGATATTTTGTCCCAGCAGTGAGATAAAAGTAACCAAGACATCTGGTTTTCCACCTGGGTTTCATGTGTGTGGTACAATCAAACAATATAGTGGATGTTTAAATTTTAAAAAATATATATATTACAGTAAAAAACATATATCCATGAATCCCACTCAAAACACTCGCCTTGCCTTAACACACTTCTTCCATCAGCTTTGCTGCTTTCTGAAGCAGTTCTAGAAGTATTCTTTTGCAAGTATCTTTCGTTATGCTGTCATTTCTACCTCAACTCGCTGAATCAATTAAAAACATTGCCCTTTCATGGTCATTTTGACTTTGAGGGAGAACCAAAAGTTACACAGTGACAGATTCTGTGAACAGGATAGATGAGGACACACTAATTTTTTTTATGGTCCTGCTTGGCTCTTGGCAAGAGAATTCACCCTATGTTGGATCACACCTTGTAACTTCTAGACCTGCTTCAGAACATGATGAGAAAAATGATGTATTTGAAGAGAAGGGGAGTATTTTGAGCAGAATAATGACAA